GCCAACTGGTTTAAATCTTCTTGCTCTTCGTCATGTTACATTAACAAATAATCTCATTGCATTGAAAAACTTCTCTTCATTTCCACCTAATATTCGTTCTATTCAAATTCTACTTCATGCTGATAAGCCGAACTTCGACTCAAGCAATTGGTCTATATTGCGTTCACTTTCAGCCTTAACGATGCTCACCTCATTACATATCGTTATGAATGATATCAATACAGGTCTTGATGATATTAGTTGTCAGATTATTGCAGAAACAGTACCAATATTCGTTCATTTTGGTATTTGTTTTCGAAGAAAAAGTGGAATGCCGAAGCCTGATTCTATTGACCATTGTATTGAGTTTGATCCTGCTCTCGTCAATCTTACTAATGATCCTACTGTTCCTATTATTGCCGATGATGAAGATTATGACGATGATGAAGATGATGAAGATGATGAAGATTTGACATTCTTGGAATCGATATATGATATTTACCGGGCATCTATCAAAGAACTACATAGTCGTATTTTACGTTTATCATTTCATATGAAACCTCTGATTGTTGTTGAAGAAGGAGGTTGTGGACTAACTATTTGGTTTTGATTTTCGAAAGAAAAAAAATGAATATTCAATAAATTGTCAAATCTATAGAATAGTCCCAAACTTGAGAATGAAACGATTGATAACGTGTTCAGAAGTAGATCGAGATGTGCAGCATGGCCTTGAAGAAGAGAAAACAGTGAGGTATTGATCGTGAATCAACATCAATTGCTGATACAAATCCATATTCAACTAAAAATGATAGTGAAACCATTGAAATAAGTGATATGAGTGAAAGTGAAATAAAGGTGAATCATCTGTAATGAATAAAATAAATAACGGTTGAGATGAGTGTTTCTTAATTGGTGAAATTGAACTTTTGAAACATTCTGTCACTATTTAAAAATCTTAACACTGATCAAAACTTGAATAGAATATATAAGAAGTACTAAGAAAAGATAGCGATTATGGTTTTTTTTTGTTTTTTTAGATATAATAAAATAAAAGCATGTTTTGGAAAAGAAATTTATATAAAAATATCATAAAATGCCATTCGAGAGAGTTTGTTAGATTTAATCAAATAATTATTATCCATTTCAAAATATAATGTACTTCACTTCTTTTTGAATAACTCGAGAAAGCAGGTAGCTGGATACCTGAGATTTCATCGATCAAAAGAAAAGTTAAGAGATCGTCTTTTTCTCCAATATTCTATATGATGAAATCATTTTAAAATGAGTCATTTCTGGAAAATATTACAACAAGTGTATGAGAACGATCTGTCATTCTGATGAAATTTTGGTTTTGACAAGTGATCTAGTTGGAAAGACTTCATACTTATAGTTCAACATATGATGCGAATAATTATCTTCTCACATCTTAATGTTGAGCAAATAAGATAATCTATGTACTCACACGACGACTGAGTTTCTTTTGATTTTTTAAGCGAATTTTCTTACTTTTTGTCAAAACATCATCTGAATTGATAGACTATTTTTATAGATTTTTTCGATGTTTTGTAGAAGTGACTGATTTTAAAATGATTTCGTCTTTTATAACGTTAGAAAAAAAGACGTTCTCCTCTTTCAATTGATGGAAAGTACAGTTCTCTAGCTTTTTATGTTCTCAAGTTATTCAAACAAAAAAACAAAGAGGGGAGCACATTATATTTTGAAATGAATAATAATAAAATAAGTATCGAGTTCAATACTTCCGAGTGCTACACAATAGAGAAATACACATTTAATTAAAATACTGATAGCTATCGTTCTATCAAAACATTGAAATATAAAATAGATTTTTCTCATTCACTATGAGAAACCCTTCTGAAACAACTCTATAAAATCATTTAATCTTTTATTGATGAAAAGAAAATAGAACTAATCGATTCATCAAAAACATCACATTGGAATACATCTAAATAATTTTGAATCACAGATAACTACATAATAAAAGAACGTATTATCCTATAATGAAATAAACGGGTTACATGATTTTCGGACCGAATCGAAATTCTAGTCTTCCAAATTAAATCATTAATACGAACAAAGTTTATTCTATATTTTCAATGATTTTACTAAAGCAACAGGTAAATTATCTTCATTAGCTCTAAATATACACTTCATTTTACAGTTTTTATATTTTATATAATTAATATGATTCTTAATATTGGATGGCTATTTATATGGGATCGAGGATACTTTGGTGTAAGTATTATCATGAAATATAAATTTAGTCATTTATCTATTTTAGTGGTCATTACTCGTCATTTTCTTCATGTTTATAACGATTATTGTCCCTATGATCATAACTCATATTCTCCTACAACAAAATCGATCAACTTATATTAACGTACAACGGTAAGAATTTGTTTTAGATGTTTTTTTGTCTATTTATAGAAAACTAGATATTTGGCTTGTACGAATATTAGTTCATAATGGTTTAGCTATTTATGGTACATGGCTTTATCTTGCAACATTACTTAATTTAACTATTTGGATTTCACAAATATATAATAAAAATGCTCAATCAATAACTGATGCATCGACTGCAGCGCTTACTTTTGTACTTGTTGGAATTATAGTTTATTTTGTTTGTGAAAATTTTATATTTTATTCTTCAATGGCATATACATTTGTACCATGGTTNCCTCGTGAAATTCTACATCTAGTAGATCATGAACCAACCAAAACTAGCGAGGGCCCAAAAATGACCCTTATACGCCCCCATCCTTTCGATGAATCTTTCTCATAAACATACACAAGTGACTTAAAATAATTTTCTATTTCACATATAAATAAAAACAATCTGGTTCAATATCATTATTGTTGTTATGATTTGTTTTTAATGATAATGTACTTAAACAAAGAAAAATGTCTTTATAAGTTCATTTTCAATATCAACATTTTTTTAAAATTTGCATGTGAAGATGGGAAAAAAAGGGTAATGAATGTATGTGAATGTTGGATATTCAACAACATAGAGATCATTAAGAGTCTGTATATTGATGATAAGTATTGATAATGTCTTTGTTCATTTTCTAACACTTCGATGATCTGTCGGACCGATCAAGTAAAAATTTGTGAGAGTAGACAATGGAATGCCACTACTATATGTATATCTACTTTCTTGTCATTGTTGAAATCGCCAGAGGCAATTGAATTCGACAGAGAGTTGTAACCAGTTGAATACATGACCGCAGATGTAAACGTTCCATTGCCGAGATTTAAAAGTACACCAATAATAATATTAAGTATATTACCTTCATTTTGGCCATAATTGACGATAGCTATATCCATGTTATTGTCACTGTCAAAATCGCTTATAGTGACAGCATATGGATAAACACGATTACCAGTTGAATACGTAATTTGACGCGCAAATGATCCATTACTGTATCCTAGAAATATGTTTACGTTGCTTTTGGCACTATTCGCAACAGCTATATCCATTCGATTGTCGTTGTTAAGGTCACCAGTGGTGACAGCATGTGGAAAAGAAGATCTACCTGTTGAATATGTGTCTTGGCATCCAAAGGATCTATTGCCGTATCCTACAAATACAGCGACATACCCGTCCAAGTAATCGGTGATAGTTATATCTATTCGATCGTCATGGTTGAAATCACCAACAGCGACAGAGCATGGAGAAGAAAAAGTGTCAGTTGGGAAGCGAAATGAGAGTGCCAATGATTCATTTCCAGATCCTAGAAATACATCAATTCGTTTTAGGCGACTCTCCACAGCAACCATATTCATTTGGCTGTTATTGTTGAAATCACCAATAGTGACAAAGTAGCAAGGCAGTTTAGACACAGACCTTCGTACAGTTTGGCTCGAATATAATGCATTACCGTATCTCTTATTTAAATCCATGCTTTGCTTGGCAGTTTGTTTGGTGAGTATATTCACTTTGTTATTGTTGTTAATGTTTGAAATACAGTCAGAGGACCGTTTATAAGTATTAACTGTCGAATACACGAATTTGTGATGGAAGTTTAGAACTTTCTCAGCCAGTAAGATATCTACATCGTTAGTTTCATTATTGGCTACAACAATATCTAATAGTTGATCACTATTGAAATCTTCAAGTATGAGAAATTGAGGTTCGGAATTATATCCAGTTGAATACTTTACTTGAGTAAGAAAGAATTCATCATCATATCCAAAAAAATATGCTTATAATGTATGTTTGAAAATTGGCGACTGCTATAATACTATCTTTGTTTAAATCTCCTATAATAACAGAATATGGTCTAAAATCAGTTCCAGTGGAAAAAGTTATTTGTTCACGAAATGTTCCATTGCCATATCCAAAAAAAAAATGCCAACATTATCTCTACCAGAATTGGCAGCAACAATGTCCAATTGATTATCACTATTCAAATCACCAATAGCAATAGAGTACGGTTGGGATTCAAACCCAGTAGAATATAGTATTTGATTTGAAAATGTTCCATCATTATTTCCTAAAAAGATGCCTATGTTGTTCGTGCCATGATTTGCGACGACTATATCTAGTTGAGAATCGTTGTTTAAGTGGGCAACTGCAATTGAGTGTGGATCAGAATCGTAACCAGTTGAATATATTGTAGGATATTGAAAAGTGCCGTTGTTGAGTTCGATTAATACTCTAATAGAATTCGTACCGTAATTAACTACGACAATATCCATTTGTGTGTCACCATTGACATCAGCAATAGCAATTGAAAGTGGTCTTGAAGTTTTAGTTGTAATGATTTTTTAATCTGAAAATGTTGTATTGTCGTATCCAAGAAAAATCCCCATACTATTAGTTCCAAAATTTGTCACAGCAATATCGAGTCGAGCATCATTATTGAAATCGTTGACGGCTAGAGAAGAAGGACGAGAAAACATTCCTGTAGAAAACGTTTCTAGATTTGAAAATGTCCCATTGCCATATTCTAAAAGTATTTCAATGTTATTAGTACCATAATTGGCTGTGACGATATCTAATCGTTGATCATGATTAAAATCACCAATAGCAAGAGACTCAGTGGGTGAATTCCACTGAATAGCATTTTTTTTAGTGTTGGTTTATACTCGTATGTACACATATGGCCTGAAATAAAGAAGTAAGATAAAGTACTTATTGACAGGAAGAGTTCTCATGTTTTCAAAGCTTGTTTTCATTGTGAGAGAAGCGGTAATATTCGACATTGTTATGATAGAGCTGAATCATCAGTATTTAAAATAATTCATATTTACAGTAGTAAACAAAATTCTGCACTTCTTAGAAATATCTACTACGATGTTGAAACTTTTAATCAAACTACAATGAAATTAACAGCCAGTACTAATTAGATACTTCAGATGCGATTTACTGTTCACTCCGTCTTTGTTGTCTCCGGCGCACAAAATTTGAGCTCTCTAGCTCCTATGATCGCTGAATTATGAGGCCTACACTGTCGAAAAAATCGTATTTTACATGTAGCTGTACTAAGAAAGTGATATTTTCTAAGTATAAAAGAAAAGAGAAAAAATATAATGATTAGTCCATTTTATACAGCTAGCGATGCTCTATCAAATGATATATCTTTTGTATATTTTTTTTCTTTTATTTTCACACTTTGTCCTTTTCGTATAGAAGAATCTTATTTTTCGATTTTCTCTATTTATCTACAAGTTGAATGAATCCGAACGTATTCAAAATAAAGTCAGTTGATCGAAAAACAAATTGATAAAAACACGAGCTTTTTTTAAAAAATTGAATTTTACTCAATTTGTCGAAGGACTTTTTTGCAACTTTCATCGCTAATAACTTTTGAACAACTTAATATAACTGGTAGAAAATTCAACTGTTCATCTCTTGTCGTTCTCGAGAAGTTTACAATGATAATGTAGAAGAACCTTTTTTGTATGATATTTCAAATAGAAGCGGATCAAAATGAGTAGTATTTTATGCCATTTGATTCGCCTCATTGCGGAAATTTATCCTACTTTTATTGCAAATATAAATTTTAAAATAAAAAATCACTTTTTACTACAACGAATTTCAGTGAGATATGTATGTTTTTTTGTATTAAATCACGATGTCTATGCCCATATCTCGGCTAATATACAGCAAAAGTATTGGGAAACTTTTTGTTGTATAATACTGACATAGAGTATAACAAAAAGTACTACTTAAAATTTGTCTATTCCTACTTGCAATTTTTTCATGACATTCGTACCAAAACGTTGCAATTAACGTATATATATTAATAAAACATTATAATTATTTTTTATTGCCTCATAATCTATTGAATTATGTTTTCATTTCTATTACTATAATAACTTTATGTAATACATTTGAGATAAATTTAAAAAAAAAAAAAACCTAGAATGATGTAAAACATTTATTGAATAGTCCAAAAAAGAATATCATAAAGCTAATTTAGATTTTTGTTTTAGACAGGTACTACATCTGGTTGCCGATTACGTGATTGTTTTTGTTCATTTTTAACAAATGTTTTTAATAAATCCATAATATGATTTTGATATTCTTCGGGTGTATCGATTTTTCCTGTAGCCATATAATATAAATCCCAATCATTTGATGGTGTATTTATTAATTTATCATATAAATCAAGATCATTAGCATTCATTTTTGATAAATAAATTGAAGCAAAATTACTAAGTAAAAGATCATTTTCTAGCATACCACGTTTTCGACTTTGATAAAGAAGACGACGACGTTTAACTTCAATCGATTCATTTTTCGGTTGAGCCCATATTGGTAATTGTTGTGGAGGTGCTTCCATATGTGATTGACGAACATAAGGAAGTACAAATGAACGACTTAAACGTGTCGTTAAATAAAATGTACGAAAAATATTCATATCTAGAGGTAATAAATTAATTTTAATCAACAAAATTCAATGTAAAAATAAAGATTCTTATTATTTTTATAAACACAAGAAGAAAAAAAATACTACAAAAAAGAAATAAAGCGACATTTTTCTATTGGAATCTATATAACTCCTAAGCCTGAATATGTATAATATCAATGAATTATTAATCTTTATCTTTGTCTGTTGATTTATTTTTATTGGCAGAAGTAGGACGAAAGAGTAGTGGACACATTCCTATTTATAATTAAAAATAAATGTTAATAAAGAGAAATAATTATATCAATAGTTTATACCTAACAAACAACCTATTCAAAAGAAAAAAAAAAGAAATATAAAGTTTAATGAAGAATATTATTCACACTTACCAACAAAAATACAAATGACTTTCGACTAGAAATATAAAACAGGTTATATAACGAATAATTTTTTTTTTTTTGCAATAATTTTACCAACAGTTGAGTTCTCTGTACGGATCGTTGTCCCCATTGATCTGTAGTTAATTTAGGTGGTTTAGTTCCAAATGCACCTAAAAAATGCCCACATGTTCGTTCAATACGATCGGCAAGACTATATAAAGAAAAAAAATTTATTAATATTCTTCTTAATCGAAATACTTTGTTTAAAAATTAACTTACCCAATACCCATAACATCACTGACAGCATTTCCCAAAGCAGCAGCTATTGAAAATTATATTAAATGTTATTTATTTCGAATTTTATTTCTATTACCTGCCATTGTAGAAAGACAAAAAGCAACACCAAAAAATGCTTCAATTGTTTCACCCTGAATAAAACGAAATATTTTTCTACGAGATAAGAATATTCACTTACAGCAACAAGCATAACAAAATTATCAACAAAACCAAAACCAATATATGGAAGTCCAGTTTCAAGAAAAACTTTAAAAAAAGCAATTTAAAACCACAGAAATAAATTCTTTTACCAACAGCTAATTGTGAATAAAGAATTGGCATTGGGCCGATTGTTGCTGCCGTTGATGATTTTTCTACTTGAATTAATTCATTAGAAAGAATTCGTCTATGTTCTTGAATAAATACATATATTCATATAGAATGAGTTATATTTTTGAATTTTTATATTGACCTGGTTCGAGTGAAAGAATAAAATCTCGTGCTAATTCATGAATATCACTCGGACTTTCTGTTTTTGTATAATGTGCATGTGTAGATAAAGATGCAGATTGTTTAAGACGATTTTTGGAAAAAATAAATCTAGCAATTTTAACCGAAAAACGAGATACTGATCGATGTGGTTGTGATACATTATCTGGTGTTGGTGTTGTGGAAAAAGATGAACGAAGAAAAAATCTTTGACATATAAAAGTTCGTGGAAACCAACAAGTGTAAAGAGACAAACGACAAGCCATATAGATGATTAAAATAATATAATTGGTATTTGCTGTAACATCTTGTGAGCATATTAAAATCAATAACAAGTCGATGTTTAGTTCGCATTCATCCATCTGAAGAAGATCGAAGATAGATGTCAGCAGTATACAAGTGAATTTTTCTCAAATACACTTTGACAGACTGCTGTATTTGATTCGATGAATTTGTTTTTTTGCGAAATAAAATACTTGAGCAATAAAACTTATTAAAATGGTCAGTAAATCAAATAATTATTTTCTTTGTACAATGTAGTATAGGAAAGAAGCAAGAATATTCCTACGTTGCGGTATGACGAGCTGCGTTAGTCGCAGATCGAGTAGCTTAATATTTTCCTACAAACTGATACTAGCTACAGCTCTGAACAGAAGACCAACCTGACCCATAGAGTTCTTGCGCTCAATTGCTCGAGTTTCCTATACACAGTAATTAACTATAAGAGCAGATGTATGTCACAACATATAGTCAGCATTCTATGAAACGGGTGATTCGAGATAAAGAACCGTTAATTACTCGTCTAGATTGATTCCATGGCTGCTGATACAAGATTTGAACATAGTACTTTCTGGATACTTGTCGAATAACGTAGCGCGATTCAACCATGGCGAGCATCTCCCATGATAAAAATGCTATACACGATATATGTGTAGATACTCTTTGTTTCTATCCTTTCCTCCGATTCCAGTTTAGAGTCTACGAATACAGAAGATGAACGTGATGTGTTAGTTGCAGAGGTTGTAGAACAAAATTATGAAATAAATGGAAACGAAAGATCTTACCAGAAAAAAAGAAAACAAAATATTTGATTTAATTGTCAAAGTATTATACAGCAAATGAGAAAATAGTATATTACAGATGCAACAAAGTCGAAACCTTGTGGAATTTAATGTAGAGTGTGGATAGCGAAAATTTTCAATTTTTAACCTCATGAATACCGACAAGTTCTTGCGTTCTGTACGAACATGGAGAAAAATTGGAAAATCACTCTCTCTTGCGCTCAGTCATAGTCAATCAGCTGTATATATACGATTTAGTTTGTCGTATATGAACGATTCTCCATATTGGCTCTGTGTTTATCAGCTGTGCATCGATACGAAAGAACGAAAAAAAAAAATTCTTTCGTTCTGCTTGTCTTCAACCTGAAGACAGCGGTAACCAAGAGGTTAATGATGGTCTTATTATTATGCATAAATCCAACATTAACATTTGATTTATTGAAAATTGTTCATGATAATAAAATCGTCCTACATCATCTTAAGCAAGAACTTTAAATTAATATTTATCTAAATAGAGGCAACATTGCAAATATTAAAAAAAAACAATACATTAGAATGAATAACCAAAGTTTTTACTAAAATTTTATCTTTTATTATTGGTTGCTAAGACAATTTCGTATTTTGTTTTTTTTCGGAATTTCTTTTCTTTTCATTCATTTGAATTTATATTCAATAAAAATAAAACATGTATTATGTATTCCGTTTGATCTTTATCATATTTTTGGTTGATAGTATTAAGATAAATCGTCTATTTCAAGATGCGAATCCATTTACTACAGATAACCATGATATTGACAGCAGTGGAAAAGCTAAAAATAAATTTATGCTTATTCCAAGTATTGGCTATGAAATGAATGATAATCTTGGCAAATTTACTTTCATCTTAGATGGATGGTATTTTAAACCAGTGGATTCAGGTAAAATTTCTAAATTTTAAGTAATGATAAATTTAAACTGAAAATTTAGGTTTTATAAAAAATATTATTAAAAATACTCTTCAAGTAGCACTTAATCTTTTGGGTGGTAGTACAACATCTACTGAAGAAGCCGAACAAGAACGTTTAGAACCATTTTTTGTAACTGATGTTACTAATCATAAAATACAATTAAAATTAAGTGATTCCATTTCTGAAACAGTATTAACTGATAAAAATGGTCGTTTTCATAAAAATATTATTATAAATTCATTAGAAAAATTAAATATACAAGGACAAATATTGAAATATATTGCTTTCGATAATGATTATCAAGAAAGTGGATATGAAGGTATTATTTATTTAATGAAAAACAAAAATCATATTGGATGTTCGATTATTTCGGATATTGATGATACTATTAAAATATCTGAAGTTCCATATAAATCAAAATTAATGCTTAATACATTTAAAAATCCATTTCAAGCAGTACCTGGTATATATCAATTTCAATACAATTGATTTAATTTAAAATATTACAAAATACTAATGTCGGCGCCAGAAGTAGATGGAGAAAACTCAAGGAGGAATATCTCCTGAACGGATGCAGCTAGCGACCTGCGGTTTTCACCATTAGAAAGAAAACACCCAGGGGCATCCACACATGGTAAAATATAATT